GGTAGTGGTAGTGGTAGTGGTAGTGGTAGTGGTAGTGGTAGTAGTGTTGGTGGTAGTAGTTGTCGCAATAGTCGCAGTAGCAGTAGCAGTAGGAGTAGGAGTAGGAGTAGGAGTAGGAGTAGCAGTAGGAGTAGCAGTAGCAGTAGTAGTAGTAGTAGTAGTAGTAGTAATAGTAATAATAATAGAAGTACATGTGCACTTGGCATGTTGCGGGAACCCTCGTGCTTCGGCAAGCACAAAGGCACCAAGGTACCCACTCACATATACACACACCGACACAGAGAGACGCCACGCCCACCCCCGACCCGAAGCACTACACACCAGAAGTTGGGTTTCGGCATGAAGCTCTATGCCTCAAAACTTAGGGCGCCTAGGCCCTAGGATTTGGGCTTGGGGCTTACAGCAGTTTACGATCGAGGACTGAAGTCTCCTCTTCGAGGTAGTTATAAGTATGGTCATAAGTCCCCTAATATGGGGTATAACTATAGTTACCCTACTTGTAACCCCATTTACAACCACCCATGAACCTCCGAGCTGATCCCGAAGCTGCCACGGCACTTAGTGCCGCAGTACTTGAGAGAGGCGCGGTCCTCGCACCGGGTCAGTGGAGTGAGGGTCTCGAGCAGGCACCGTTTAGCGCTTCTGGGGGGTTTAGGGTTTAGGGTTTAGGGGCTTAGGGCTTTGGGGCGGCTTCGTCATGAAACATGCGGATGAAGAGAGTAGGGGCCCCTTTTTTGGGGCTCGTTATAAATCGCCTTGGCCCCGGGCGAAAAGGTCAGAGCTTCCTATCCGGATTCCCTCTATTCCCGTTTTCCTTCCTTCCTTCCTTCCTGCCTTCCTTCCTTCCTTCCTTCCTTCCTTCCTTCCTCCCTTCCTCCCTTCCTTCCTTCCTTCCTTCCCGTCCCAACTGCACTGGCTGAGAGCGGCAGCCGTCGATGCACCGCAAGCCCACGGTCTTTAACGTTTGCGTTCGCCTCGGCCCTGCCCGATTCCGCGCATATGTGTGCAGCCGGGCCGAGGCGGGCGACCCGAAGCGCCTAAAATAAGGATTCTGCTCATTTCCTGAAAGAAACTCGCGCATGTTGTTGCTACTGCTGCTAGCGCCCGTCCCTCAGCTGCCAGAGTAGCACATGACAAGAACACAGGTTTGCCCTACCAACAGTGATGATGCTGATGTGGCGATGGAACGGGCCATGACAGTAATATTGATGGCGATGATGCTTACTGGCGAGGGTGATGATATGTTGATAAGAGTGGACATAGACAAGATATGCTCTCTTGCTACTCTATGGCTACCTGTGCAGTGACAGTGCTCAGGCATTGAAAGCTCCCAGAAACTCCTTGCTACTGATAGACTTCCCCGCTGCGTCGGTTCGGAGCCATACAAAACGGTAGCAATATGTGGCAATAGCAGCAGTACTCGAGCAGGGTCTCGGGCTTTGAATGGCAGACTTGTAACCTTCTCAGGTAATCATGTATATATGTGTATGTGTACATATATATATATATATATAGATATATGTATGTATGTATGTATGTATGTATGTATGTATGTATGTATGTATGTATGTGTATATATATATATATATGTGCATATTGTATAGGTCTTTATGTATGTATATGTACCGGCATGTGTATATGTATATGCATATGTATATGTATATGTATATGTATATGTATATGTCTGTGTATATGTACTGTATATTACATGTACATGGGCTTTGGGAAATGATGCAGATGAATGTCAGGCTGACCTTATGGGGCCAGGGAGCTCAACAATTGTAAAGAGGCCGGGCGACAGTTTAGGGTTTAGGGTTTTTGGCTTAAGGCCCTGAAAACCAAAACCCTGGACCCTCAGCCCTAGACGCGAAACCTTGGACCTAAAACCAGCCCACAACAGCCTCCGCCCTCAACCCCAAACGCCTACACTCCCAAACCCCAACTCGAAACACCCTGTCTCTACCCCCCAAAACTCTCCAAGCCAAGACCTCGAAAGCCCAAATCTCTGAATGCCAAGCTTGAAAATCTCGAAACCCCACAACTCATGCCTTTTTTGTCCTGCAACTTCCCCTAAACCCTACTTGGAGGTTCATGGTAGTTATAAGTATGGCTATAAGTCCCCTAATATGGGTTATAATTATAGATACCCTACTTATAACCCCATTTATAACTACCCATGAACCTCCAACTAAACCCAGACAAACCCTAAACCCTAAAC